TATATACACAATTGTAGCTTCAGGCTGCATTAATGCAAAAACTGGGACAAAGTGAAGGAAATCTGAAAATGTTCTGAAGTCCCTGAATTTCATTTCGCTGGGTGAGGACTGTGGGTGTGTTAGAGCAATACACAGTGTACAAAGTATAACGTAACTCATTGAGTAACTTACAGTGTAGTGAGGTCAGTAGTGATGGTTGTGGCGGTGCTATCAGGTTGTTGTGAAGACTCAGTGAAGTTGACTCCTTCAGATGAGAAGTTACCTTCAAATGAAAAGAGAACATTAGGAAGAATGAGCTGAAAATGTTGGTTCAGTTACATTATGTACTAACTACCTCCATCAAGTACAATCTGCATATTACTGATAAATATTTTACAGAAGTCAGGAATATATCAGCATTATCTTATTTGTACCTGCGTTTCCCCCGAGAACATTCACAGCAATATTGTTTACCATGTTCAAAATGGCATCTGAGGAGAAAATTCAAACAATAATGTGGATATATGGACTCAACTTAAATATCAAATATATTCAAATGTATTCAATACAATACCTTTAGCTGATCCAATCAGATCGTTGGGTTCTCCAGGTGAAACTCCATGAGGATAAGCTGCAGACATTAATAAACATATACAAAGCTTTCATTAATCTGGACAAAAATTAAAATTTGTTTACAACAAATTTGTGAAAACAAGGAACTAAATGAAAATAATAATTTTAATGTGCAGACACCTGAACTGTGTTTATAAAGTAAACAAAGGGTGGACTACATCAGACTGTTTCTACAGTAAAAGGAACTGAACCACTAAAGGTCTCTGAGCCCCTGAAAGGACAGGTGTGTCTCACCCAGGTCGTCCTCTTGATCATCTGGTCTTTCTGAAGGATCAGCAAACTCCTCGTACTCTGCCATCATACTGGTTCCAAACACTCTGACCAAACAAAACCAGTCAAACTCATGTTCAAACATCTACACAACACAACCACATCATTCAAAACAAGCTTTCATGTCATGTAATATGTAGCGGTGTGTCAACGTGACAGTTCAGATCTTTGGAAGTCGGGTTCTATGGACAGGTTAATAATCGCTGCTCTTTTAAAGCAACTTGATTCTCACAAACTTAATAGCAGTTTATGTAAACAATGTTAAAAATTTCAGTCAATTTTTACATGACGTTATTTATATCAAATTTAAAAAATACTTCCAAGTGTAAGTAGCAGCAGCAGCTAGCTGTAGCACTTCCAATGCAACCAGGAGCACTCTGGCAGGAGCATTATATTTCTGCTCAAATGACCACATATTTCACAACTATCAGCTGCTTAAAAGTTTGTGTTCACATAAATCACTACATTTTTGAGATTGGAGCAGTTTTAAAATGGCAAACCAACTAGTGTTGGTCTCGCTCTGACTAGCTGTTGGCGCATCAACGGATGACCCTTTTTATTCATGTGAATGCTCTAAGTCAGAATTTTGCAGTGCATTGTGGTCTACTGCATATATATATTCATCCCTACTGGAGTTCTTTGACATTTTTTTTCAGCTGTTCCCTCTTAAGGGGTCTCCTCAACGAGTCATCCTCTACCAACTCCCTCTGTATTCTCTAACCGAATCTACTGTGTATCTATCTCCTCTTTGTCTTTTTCCTGGCAGCTCAGTGTTTCCCCTACCATTATACAAGCAGGGCACCCCGCCCAGTCAACAGAACCGAGCACTCTGCCTACCAAACGCCCACCCCAGTCAACAATTGCCTGACGTAGCGCTAAGCGAGCAGTGCGAAATACAGATGCACTGGCTAAAAAGCTAAAGAGGTAGCGCTCACTTTCCCTGAGTCGTCTCCACTCACAGACATATGTCTGCGCCCTTCCCCCCCCACCTCCCCGCCGGCCTGAAAACTGTCGGTACAAACAGCCCACAGCACAGACATGTCTGCGTCTAAACTCCTACCCCAATTCAATAAAAATCATAGAATAAAGGACACATAACCTAGGAGAAAAACTGCAGCTGTATTTCTAAATTCCTTCTACCAATATAACCACTGTCCCTCCTCTGGGCATGTCCAAAATCCTCAGTCTGGTCTCTAACTTTATCTCCAAGTCCTTCAACATGTGCTGTACCTCTCATGATCTCATTCCTAATTTTTCCCATTATTGTCACTCCTGGGGAGAACCTCAACATCTTAATTTCTGCTACTTCCAGTTCTGTCTCCCGTCTTTTGTCCATGTCTCTGTCTCCAGACCATACAACATAGCTGGTCTCACCACTGTCTTGAAACTTTTCCTTTGACCTTTGCTGACACTCTTTTGTCACAAAACACTCCTGAAACTTTTCTCCATCCACTTTATTCTACCTGGTTTCCCTTCTTCACCTCTTTACCACACTCCCCATTTTCCAGGACAGTGGACCCTAAGTCCTTTAAGTCCTGCACCTTTGTGACCACTGCTCCTTGTAGACTCACTGTTCCACCAGCCTCCCTCTCATTCATATATGGACTGTCTTACTATGGCTGACTTTCATTCCTCCTCTCAAGTGCATACTTCCACCTCTCCAAGTTCTCTTCCACCTGTTCCCTGTTCTTAACACAGATCTCAATGTCCTCTACAAACATCAACGTTCACAGGGATTCCTGCCTGTCCTCATTGGTGATGAAACATGCATAATCCAGTCGAACAGTCGACTTGCGGTTATGGGACATTCGTTTTCGCACGCACCTTTCATAGTCCACGAGACTCATGACGACTGTCATTTCCACATTGACAAACATGCTCACAAACTTCTGACTTATTACACAATACTTAGTGCATACTCCTGTGAAAAAAAGTTTGGCCTAGTTCTTGTGGCGAGAAGAGGCGTGAGAAGCTACACTGAGAACAAAACGTGATTTTTGTCACACATCACATAGAGACATGTTCATGGTTTCGAACAGAGTATGCAGGGCCCTTTAGTCTGTTCATCACTAGAGCAAACAAGAAACCAGAAGAACTTTCGAACTTTTCAAACGTAATCCTCACTAATCTTTCCCACGTCAAGGTCCACAGTTTATGTGACCTCTACTCTTCTTTCCCTTTCATTCTTATTCATTAGCTCTTCAAAGTACTACTTCCCTCTTCAGACCACTCTCCTCACTTCTTAGAACATTACCATTCCTATCTTTAACAAGCCTAACCTGCTGTAAATCCTTTCAAGCTGGATCTGTCTGTTATAACAGTCAATACAAGTCCTTCTCACCCTCTTTTGTGTCCAGCTTCTTGTACAATTCATCATAAACCTTCTGCTTTGCCTTTGCTACCTCCCTCTTTACTCTACGTTGCATCTCCTTATATTCCTGACTCCTCTCTTCCATCCTCACTAGCTATGCAGGTGGACTACAGGAAGAATACCAGCCCCCCCAACCCTATATCAACATCAAGGGTACTAAGGTGGACTCTGTGGACTGCTACAAGTACCTGGTGGTCCAGACCAATAAACTGGACTGGACAGCTAACAACAACACCCTCTACAAGAAAGGACAGGGTTGCCTTTTTCTTCTGAGGAGACTCAGGTCCTTAATGTCTGCAGGACCATTATGCAGATGTTTTACCAGTCAGTGGTCTCCAGCATCTTCTTCTATGCTGTGGTGTGCTGGGGCAGCAGGGTGAAGAAAGCTGATATCAACAGACTCAATAAACTCATCAGGAGAGCTGGTTCAGTTCTGGGAGTGGACCTGCAGTCTCTGACAGAGGTGTCTGAGCAGAGGATGCTGAGGAAACCGCTCCAGATCCTGAACAACACGTCACACCCCCTGCATGACACCCTGGACTCTTACTGCAGCACCTTCAGTCGTAGACTGAGACCATCGAGGTGCTCCACAGAACAACACAGGAAGTCCTTCCTCCCTGTGGATATCAAACTTTCAACTCCGTCCCCTTTCTACACATAGCACAATAAAATTAATCCTGTACTACAATAAACTCTTTAGTGTTTCTGTCTGCACCTGTTTAGAACTTAATTGCTTGCATTTGTAGAATCTGCTTAAAACTTAATTGTTGGCATTTTTTTTTTTCTCTGTTGTCTTTATATCTTGTGATTCTTATCTATGTTCCTTTATAATGAAACTCTGGCACAATAATTTCCTGCGGGATCAATAAAGTTCTATCTTATCTCTTACTTTTACATGCGCAAAATTCTTTGATCGGATTTAAACGTATTCGGATTAAATAATCTGAATGCATCGTTTACATGGCACAATCCAATCATGACGAGTGTTTACATGAAGCGGGCTTTTATTCAGAATAGAAGTAGTGACATGCACAGAGTGGTAAACTTTCCTTAAAAAACCATAGAAGAAGTTCTACTTACGGTTTACGGCCGTGAGAAACGTAAACAAACCTGAGCACCCGGAATGGACTCGCGCCAGGTTTTAATGACGGTGGAGACGTTACTGCACTCCCTGACTGAGCTACAGGTAATACAGATCATTTTGAGCTCTTTCAAAGTTTCTAGTAGAAATGTTGTTTCACTCACCAACCAGTTTTGCTTCCCTGACATATTAGCATCTAGCCAGGCAGAAATGTGTGAGGTTGACAAAGGACGCATATGTGCAGTCAGGTCCGTTTTCCATAATCCAAATAAAATGATCAGATTAAGTGTTTACATGCACACCATTTGGATTATGAATCAGCATAAACCACCCCTCTCATTTGGATTACATATTCATTCAGATCAAGCTGAATCAGCTCAGAATAATCCGAATGGGGTGTTTACATGATACATTTTTATTCCGAATGGCTGTTTAATCTGATTACTTATGTCCATGCAAACATAGCTAGTGCCAGATTTCTTCTTGGCTAACCTTTACTTCTAGATAACTTCCTACACTTCATTATTCCACCACCAGCTTTCCTTATCATCCATTCTCTGTTCAGATGACACACAAAGGACCTTCTTACCAGTCTCTCCAATCACTGTTGCTGTAGTAGTCCAGTCATCTGGAAACTCTTTCTCACCACTCAGAGCCTTTAACAGCTCCTCTGAATTTTACTCTTTTTCTCTTCTTCACAACAACATCATTCTACACACAACCATTCAATGCTGTCTGGCCACGCTTTCTCCTGCCACAACCTGCCAGTCTCCCATCTCCCTCATCTTTCTTCTTCTACACAGAATGTAGTCGACCTGCATACTCCTTCCTCCACTCTTATAGGTCACTCTGTGTTCCTCCCTCTTTTGAAAATGAGTGTTGACTACAGCCATTTCCATTCTCTTGGTTAAATCCACCAGCATCTGTCCTTCCTGGTTTATTTCCTTGACACCAAACCTACCCATCACTTCCTCATCCCCTCTGTTTCCTTCACCAACTTGTCCATTCAGGTCTGCTCCAATCACCACTTTCTCCTCCCTGGGAATACTCTCTATCATTTCATCTAGATTATCATCTAGATATACATTTTACATTATTTTACATTAGTGTTTAAAGTATATCTTAGATATTTTAGTGCATCGTTTAGCGTTCATTTAGTGTATATCTTAAATCATTATACTGTATGTTTCTTTTTTATTTTTTATTTGGGTGTGACTGGGACCTTGTGTACACAATTTCGTTCCACCTCATGTACCACATGTGATGTGAATGACAATAAAGAACCTTGAACCTTGAACCTAGATCCTTCCAATATTTATCTTTCCCCACATCACATCCAACCTGTGAAGCAGAATCTCTGACAACATTTAGCATCAGATCTACTTCTACCTTCAGGCACATCGCCCTATCTGACACTTTTCACCTCTACTATATTCTTTGCTAACTCATCCTTCAGAACTGCTCCACTGCCTTTCGCTTTCTATCCACACCATGGTAAAACAATTTAAATTTTGCTCCAAGGCTGCAAGCCTTGCTGCCCTTCCACTTGGTCTCTTGGACATAAAAACTGCTACCTTCCTTCTCTGCATCATGTCAGCGAGCTCTCCAATTTTTCCTGTCATTTTCCCCACATTTAGAGTTGCTACCCTCAACCCTACACTCTTGACTTCCCCCTTCTCCCTCTGTCTCCTGACACACCTCCCTGCTTGTGGTCTTCGACTAACAGTAACACAGTTTCTGCTGGGATCATGTTTGTCATTAATACTAGGGGAGATCTTTGTTAACTCAGGCCTTGACCAATCCAGTACGGCATTATTTGGACAGAGTCACATTATTCTTTGTAGAAAGTTCTTTGACATCTAATCAAATTTTAATTGCTGTTTTTGTATTGTTTTTTTTTTTTACCATCACTGATTGATGGCCTCCATATCTGAAGAAAATATTTAAAAATAATTTTTAAGTTTGATGCCCAATCTTTGTTTTCACTTTCATCAACAATTGACATTCTACCAATACATTCCACCATGGCTACCAAAGTATCTATGAATGTACTTTGTATTTGGGCATGTGGTGCCTGATTTTATACATGCATATTGGTATCAGTACAAAAGTCCATTTGGTCAGAGCTAAGCTCCATTGCTCAAAAAAACTGAACTATTGCTTTTTTATTATTATTTTCTTGTCTGTTACATACCTTATGAGACTAAGAGGACAGAAATGTTCAGACCCAAAGTGAGAGAGCAGATCCACCTAAAAAATAAGACATGTAAACTGTGATTCAGATGAAGATTATAATGTGGATAATTCCACAATAAAAAAACTAGAGCCCGACCGATATATCCGTAGGGCCAATATTTTAGGCTAATATAGATGTTTGGGGACATAACAGTATTGGTGATAATCGACCCATTGTGCTCCAATAAAAACAATTCTAATTTTCACTCCTAAAATGCAGGGAACGAGACGTGTCTTTACTTGCAAATGGTGTAATTTACAATGTATCCAGCAGAGGGTGCATGCAGACTACTTTCAAGTAATGTCCATGCTGCACACTTGTCATGCTGACCCAAGATGCAGGAAGCAACTAAAAACTGTGTAGTGTATTTGGCTGAACAATGAATGGTAAGTTTATTACATCTGATATGTAAAATAAAAATAAAAAAACAATAATAAATTCTCTTCAATCCTCCAACCCACTTGTCATTAACTACGTGCCTCTCAAGTTAGCAAGCTAACGTTTAGATAACCTAGCATAGCCTATTGCCTTGTAAAACTTTATCCAGGACAATTAATCTAACGTAACGGTAAATACATATCAGTGTTATCTTTGTCGTCCTCAATGAAATGCATTGTTTGTCTGAAATCTTTACTTCTCTGCGAAGAAAAAAAAACGCTGCCATACGTGACTGACTGTTTAAACAATGAACAGGGAAGGGCGTTTCTTTATTTAATTTATATTTTTGTAACACACTTGATAATTTTTTGGTGAATAGTGGAGGATAGAAAATGTGAATGCATGTTAGGAAGACCAGTGCTCCATTTGTAAACCTAGTGCAGGACTACGTATAGTGTGGATATGATTTGTTTAGCTTCATGGTTGCTAACAGCTGTGCTACATAAACGAGCCCTGCACCACTAACTGTTTTCTTAGATTCTTGTGGGTGGGCAAAGCTAAAATATTTTCAGCCAATATATCTGTTATTAGCATTAGCCTTCCCCTTCCAATATCAATATTGATAATAGCCCAAATTTCCATGTCGGTCGGGCTCTATAAAAACCTCCACTATGAACAGCAGTATGAAACAGTTGATTTATTTCTGCACACAGGAACAAAACACCAATGAACTGATTGTCAGAGAGTTACTGTGTGAGTAATTCGGACAGAAGCAAATCAAACATTAATCATGTGGCAGAATGAGCCAAATCAGTGCTCAAATGTAGGTTTTCAAATGTTCTTAATGACATGAGAAATGTGTTCAGAAATCTTGGTTAGATCAGATTATGGTGAATGATTAGTGTGCAAGAACAGAAGCCAATAAATTCTTATTCATGTTTTCAGTTCACTCAACCACAGAACACTACAAGAGGATCAAGCTAACCTTTATGTACTTGGTGAACATCTGAAGCAAGAAAAAAGAGAGAGAATTAGAAAAAAAATTACAGACAAACATTCAAAACAGGAGAATAAAGGTTTAATCTTAATCTCTTAAGATATGATGCTACCATCTGAAAAAAGGCAAATCTGCACTGCATGGCTGTTGGTTCCATTCAGAGCAATGAAAGAAAAAAAATCACCAGCAGGGGGTGAACTAGTTAACTCCACACAAGCAGAGGATCAACTACCAGTACTTACAGTAACTCTACATCAACAAATGATGAACTGGTTAAGTCTATCAGCAGAAGAACAATAAACTAACTCTGCATCAGCAAAGAAACAGATAGTTAACTTTACACCAGCAGAGGATGAATTAGTGAACTCAGCATTTACAAAGAACAACTAGTTAACTCTACGTCAGCAGAAAAACAACTAATTAACTGTACACCAGCAGATATATAATTCTACACTAGCAGATCCACAACTAGTTCACTCTACATCAACAAATGATGAACTGGTTTACAAGCAGAAAAACAAGTTTAATGAATGGATCAAATACCCAACAAAGTTGTCAGGTCCTCTGGACGGTTTCTTCTTGTTGAAACGTTTCATCTTTCATCCAAAAGACTTCATCAGTCCGAGGAGCCACATCAAAACTCAGTCTTATAAATAGCACCTTCTCACAGTGGGTCAACCAGTTTGATGGTGCTCAGATAAAAGAGTGTTGTAGGCTCAGTCATCCAAGTAGATAACAATAGAAAAAGGTTAAATTGTGTCATCTGGACCAGTTTCTTTAAATGAGAGACGTTTCGTCTTCCATCCAGAGGACTTCCTCCATCTACGGCCTGCCAACCAGATCTGTCTCTTCAGTGAAGTCTACTTATGGCACAGATCTGGTTGAAAGGCCATAGACTGAGGAAGTCCTCTGGATGGGGGACGAAAAGTTTCTCACTTAAAAGAAAATGGTCCAGATGACTGGATTTAACCTTTTTTGTTGGTACTCAGATGGTTTCTGGAGTTTTGTTGTACTCAGATGGTTTCTGGAGTCTGCCCTCTCCCCCGCCGACTCATTTGAGGTCGGCGTTTGAGATCAAGTGGTTCACTCTACACCAGCAGAGAAACATCTAGTTAACTCTACATTAGCAGAATGGTAACTGGACTGTAGTTATAGAGCACCTCCACACACATCCATACAGCACTCTACTAGATCTCTACAGAGAATAATCAGAGCTTTATCACATTCATACACCGATGGGACACACATCAGAGGAAATGAGGGGTTCAGTGTCTTGCCCAGGGACACTCCAGCATGTGACTGCTGGTGGAATCAAACCCCCAACCAGCCCATTAGAGGACGACTGCTCTAACCACTCAGTCACAGCTGCCCCCAACAAATATAAATTACTTTGGCTGCTTCCGTCGTCAGGGGTCACCAGAGTGAACTAACTCACACTAAGACTTGGCGATTGTTTTTACTCCGGATGTTCTTCCTGACTCAACCACAGACCACTGAGCTACCACAGCCCTCTGTGTGGAGCAGAGAGCTGCTATCTGGGGTGCCCGAGGGAGCAGAGGGTGGGGGTTAAGGGCCTTGGTCAAGGGCCCAGAGTGGGGCAAATCAGGGTGGAGGCAGTTGTGGGTGCTTCACCTACCCCACCCACATTTTGATGTTGTCAGTATGGGGAGTTGAATCAGAGACCTTCCAATCACAAGCCCACTTTCTCTAACCTCTGCACCACCACTCCCCATAAGAACAATGAGTTAACTTTGAACAAGTGAACGCTTGATCAGCAGAAGATGAACACGTTAACTCTACGTCAACAGATGATGAAATAGCTCATTGCAAATCAGCAGAGGGTCAACTAGTTACCTACATGAGCAGATGATGAGCTAGTTAACCCTCAGCTGTGGAGGAACAGTAGCGACAGGGTTGTGCTCACCTTGACATACTTGGCGTACAGCTGCTCGTCTAAAGGGAAGTTCTGAACGGTGCGTTCATCTCGGGCATGAAACGTTCCCAGCTTCAGCCACTTGTTGGTTGGATATCTGAAAATGGTAATTTCGGGGAACACAGAGTTCAGTGATTTGAACAGTTGAAAAAATATAAAATTTGATGTCAGATCATTTAAATGTCGTTATTGGGATTTATTCATTTGAGTTCAATTCCAATATAAACTGATGAAACATTTAATTCGCCACTTTATCTTGTCAGGAACATGTTTCTTACACCCTCACAGCAGACAGACAGTAGCTCAGAGAGAAATATAACGAAACAAAGAAAAGGTGAAGGGAGTGTATACTTTTACTGCCTAGTGTAAATACTGCATACTGTACTGCAACAAAATGTGGAGTTCAAGTGCGTACCTATCACTGATGGAGACCAGAAAGTCTTTCGGAGTGGAAGAGAAAAGCTCAAAATTCGCGATGTCCACCTGCTTCAACTGGATGGGCTCACAGAGCTCGATAATAAACCTGAACATCAGGGAGAAGGATTAAAACAAGACTTGAGACATGAAAAGAAGCTGTGAACCGAAAGCACAAACTCTACCAGATCTTGGTGCTACATGGATTTAGCATGTACATGTCCATGTTCTCCTTCAGTATGGCTGACGTGCTCTGTGGGACAAAATGGAGAAGCATTAGTTTATAATAATTCTTGTATCAACATCAGGCAGAGCACACGGCAGTTTCTTAAAAGTTTGAGACCATGTACTTTAGCTTCTGTGTTAGCGCCGAGAATCTTGGCTCCACATTCCACTGAGGCATAATTATTAAAGTTCTTCGGGACTTTCTTCAGAGCAGGAGGACCACTGTTACTGGAGGGCTGAGTGGACAGTGCTACTGAAGACAAAGACCACGAGAAGAAAAATGAGAGTTCTGTCAGATTTGAAGAATCTGTTTTGATATCTGCTCTTACTTTGCTCTTTCTCCACTTCCATCATCTTCCGCTTCCACTCATCGAACGTGGGGATGTCCTCGGGGTCTTTGGTACCTGCAGGGGGGTCCGTGTCCGTGACAAGGGAACTCATGTCCTGTAAGACAAAACAAGAGCTGGGACACGTCCTCTGACAGAGACAGAGATCACTGACTATGTCTGAGAGCCTCACCTGCTTGTGGGAGGTGTTGGCTTCCAGATGTTTTGTGCTTTGAACAGCTGGAGAACTCAGAGGGGGGTCGGTGAGGGTTTTAGTACCTGCAGTGTGAGCGTTGAAGGGGTTCTCCAGAAATGGTGGAGGGCTGCCGTGAGAACAACAACAGGCATTGATGTCTTGTTAAAGAGCACAAACGTGACCTGAAGCTCTTATTTTGTTGAGAAAACTCCCTTTGGTGTGTTTTATTTAAAAGGATTTGATTAACTGGACCAACCTGTTTTTATCATATATGTTGGTCACGTCTTCTGCACAGTCAAAATCAGAGGCCTCAGAAGCTGCTCCATCCTCTGCGTCACTTGAACCACTGAAACAACAGCCCGTTTACCGACTTATGTGCAACATATTTTAATACATCTCATTCCAGATGTGGCAGCTCAGGTAAAAGGAACCTGCCTTTGAGGGGTGTCCTTGTGAGAGCTCATGGTGTCGGGATCTTCCTTGTTTGGAGCAGAACTAGAATGAGTGGAAGGCAGCGGAGCAGCACAGTTTGGATGTTGAGCGCCAGCTGGATCAGAATGACAGGATTCAGAACTCTGCTCAGACTGTGAAGATCCTCTGTCTGCCTCCAGTTCTGCATCTGGAGCATCAAAACCCTGATGGAACTAAAAAGATACGCATGATTGATTAACAACTGGGCTGATCAGTTAGAAACTTAAAGCTGCAGATGTTCCAGAGACAACCAATAAAAACATAGAGGTGGTGTGCTGCATATTGATGCCTTCTCGGTTACATTATGAATTCATTTCTCTCAGTTCCATCATCTGCATGGCAACGGTCCAGTCTGCAGACTGAATGAAGCTGGGGAATGATGACAGAAAAGAAGAACTCTGTGCTTCATAAGACCGTTTTATTGTTCCCTAACTTGAAAAAAGATGAGTCCATGAGGAAAAAGTTCACATGTCCTTGATCTTGAAAAGGATGAGTTGTTAACTGTACCTCTGCATCCCAGTTTTGGTCCACTTCTGGTGTCACCTGCTCCAGTTGTTCATTATTAGAGAACAGCTGGGTCTGTAAGGCTGAGCTTCGCTCATCCTGAAAAACAGTAAAAAAAAAAAACTAAACAAATGCACAGAAATATCTACTAAGATAAAAAATATTGTGGATCCAGGATAAAGAAACATTTTGGAGACAGAATGTAAATGTTCACAAAACAAACATAAACTGTTCAACAATTCAAAGTATAATACAAGAACAAAACACGAGCTTGAAGTGTGCCCATCATTAACCCATGGAACCTTGGAGCCATGAAAGTACCACAAAGTCATTGACGCTACCTTCTCAGGAGGAGCTGAGTCCTCCCCTGAAGTGCCATCCTGTGAAGACTTCTGGACCTCTGGGTGCAGCTCCACACAGCCGACTTCATCACAGGAGTTCCTGCAGAAGAGAAGGACATCTTCAACAGCGAGTCTCCAGAAAGCGTTAGTGCTGGGACTGAACATCACCGTGACGCAACGAGGAACTGACACGCTCGTTCTGCAGCAAACAGACATTTTTAAAGACAACTTTCAGAATTCTAATCATGTCCAAGGAGGACTGGAAATAGTACATCTTGCCATAATTATTATAAAAAGCAGCAGTTCATACTTTCATCAACCAGTTTCACGTAGCATGACTAAAGTCTCTGCTCATTTACTTGAGGAAAAAGGTCTTTCATAGAAGAAAAATAAAAACTATTTTCTTTATTAACTCATGTATCATGGTGGCTCAGTTGGTACAGCTGTTGCCTCTCAACAAGAAGGTTGCCAGTTCAATTCCCGGCCTGGGGCCTTTCTGGGTGGAGTTTGCATGTTCTCTCCGTGCATGCATGGGTTTTTCTCCGGGTACTCCAGTTTCCTCCCGCAGACCAAAAACATGCATGTTAGGCTGCCTTCAGGCCCAGGAGGATCTTGAAAAAGAGATCTGTGATCTCATTTGGAATTCCCACCATCCATTATCTTTACCCATTTCTTCTTTTCTGGGTCACTAGGTCAATGGTGCTCATGTCCAGCAGTCTCTGCGCAAGAGGCGGAGGACACATAGACAGGTCTCCAGTCCATCACAGGGACACAGACAAACAAACATTCACACCCTCACGCACATGTAGAGACAATTTAGAGTTACCAATCTGCCTAACATGCATGTTTTTGATCTGTGGGAGGAAACTGGAGTACCCAGAGAAAAGAGAGAGAACATGCAAACTCTACTCAGAATGGCCCCCAGCCGGGATTTGATGCAGCAACCTTCTCACTGTGAGGCAACAGCCCTACCAACTGAGCCACCGTGCCGACTCACTGGGATTAGCCCAAATGAACAGTTAATAATAAAACTGACACAAATCACATTAGTCACTGCATTTGCCTTTCTAAGGTGTAAATTGGTATTTCAACATCAGCAGCACGTTCGAATGAGATCATAAATGAAGTGCAGCAGTCAGAGGGTGTTATAATGTTGCTATCTGCTAAAATCAGTGCTAAAAGATAGAAAATTCCCACATCTCTCTATTTGGCTTTGTTTTTAAGGCTCTGTACACACAAAACCCTCAGGTCTTCATTGAAGCTTTGAAATAATCAATTCAATTCAAAAATACTTTATTAATCCCAGAGGTAAATTAAATGTTGTGGTAACTCATCATCCTGGTTTCATTAAAGAGTTGTTCTAGATGCTGATGGCTGTGGACAGGAAGGATCTCTTGTAGCGGTCTGTCCTACAACGGATTTGAAGAAGCCTCTGACTGAAGACTGTTGTTGTATGACAGTCTGATGAAGAGGATGCTGAGGGTTGTCTATAATGTTCTTCATTTTATGAAGAATCCTTCTTTGAACAATCATCTCCAAAGGTTCTAGAGGAGTCCCCAGAACTGAGCCAGCCTTCTTTATGAGCTTGTTGATCTTTTTGAAGTCACTTGCTCCGGTGCTGCTCCCCCAGCAGATGATGGCAGAAGAGATAGCGCTCTCTACAACAGACTTATAGAAGATATGCAGCTGCAAACGTTGAAGGACTTCAGCTTCCTCAAAAAGTACAGTCTGCTCTGTACCTTCTTGTAGATGCTTCACTGTTGCATTTCCAGTCCAGTCTGTTGTTGTTAATCCTGTCCACTGGTCAATCTAATCTGATCTAGCATGGGACTAGGAGGTTGTCTTCAACAGGAATGGATGTAGACTCAGAACATTTTCTTTACTCAGGTGCTTGTTCTAGAAAACCTACTATTTAAAGAGTTTCACACTCATGACAGTCAGCTGCATGTCATGGTAAAGTGACATGTTAGTTACACTTGTCATGATGAAGTAATAAGTAGAGCTTGACCGATATGGACATTTTGACTATTGCTGAAAACAATATTAGGAGAAGAATGCAGCTGCCAATAATCGATTTACTGGCTGGAAATTTTTGAGCTTTGTCCACCCCCAGTAATCTACGTAAACAGCTACTTTTAAACCTGTTTTGACACTTGAAGTCTTGAAATGGTCTTCCTGACTTGTGTTCACATTTTCTATCCTCCACTATTCACCATAAAGTTATCCAGTGTGTTACAAACATATAAATTAAACAAAGAAATGCTCCTCCCTGTTCGATGTTTAAACAGTCACATATGGTGAAGGTCTAATTAGTTTTAACTAGGCCTGTCACGATAATAAATTTTGCTGGGCAATTAATTGTCTCAGAAATTATTGTGATAAACAACAATATTGTCTGAAATTTTACAATAATTAGTAATTATTGTTTATTTGACAATAATTAGTAATTAATGTCAAATTTAAGAAGATTTTTTTTATCTTATCTTTTGTTTTGCATGTAGTACTTTTTTGTGACCACAGGATGGCAGTATACGACTGAACGGAAGGATGGATACTGAGGGAGCAAGCAGCGTGTCTCTTTAAGAAAAATGGAAGGGAGGCGCTTTGAAGTTTTGACAAAATGGAGGTTGTTCCTTGAGGTCAGCCTGTTAGCTTAGCTCGTAGCTTCGCTTCTCAGCTTAGCTGCTTTTAACAAGCCAATAACGTGATTTTGGATAGTTAAAACAGATTTTAAAGAGAATGGGATGGATCAGTGAAGAGCACCGGAGTTGAGCCGTGTCTTCAGTGGAAAGAGAGAGACACGAAAACATGATAAAGCCGATAAATGAAAATGAGGTCGATAATTTTCATTTATCATGTGATTAATTGATTTATTGTTTATTGCTACAGGTCTACTATTGACCATAGCGAAGTTTATTTTAATGCAGAGAAGTAAAGATTTCAGACAAACAGTGCACTTCATTGATGATGACAAAGATAGCGTTACTAACAATGATATACTTTGTACAATTAGTGCACCTATATGTTAGATTTATTGTTCTGGATATAAACAACAAAAAAGGTTGAATCATGTCATCTGGACTTCGTTTTTTTGTTAAAAAGAAACGTTTCGCCCCTCATCCAAGAGGCTTCGTCAGTCTGAGGCCTAGCCATCTGGTATTACCCAGAAGCCACCCTGACTCTTGTGTTTCAAGCCTGCCTCAGATACCCCTGAAGTCTGGCCTTTTCACTAATGGTTTCAAAAACACAATGACTGAGAAAACAAACTTTGTGTTCTGGATATAGTTTTACAAGGCAATAGTCTATGTTAGGTTATCTAAACATTAGCTTGCTAACTTGAGAAGTACGTAGCTAATGACAAGCGGTTTGGAGGGTTGAAGAGTATTTATTATTGTTGATGTGTTTTAAAGATCATTTACAATAAACTTACCATGCTCTATTCAGCAAAATACACAGTACTTCTACTTGCTTTGGCTGTGCTGAAAGTGAAACTTAGGTGAATGACATTGAATTCAAAGTAGTCCACATGCGCCCTCTGCTGGATACAATGAACAATTACACCTTTTGAAAGTAAGGACACGCCTGGTTCCCAGTGTTTGTATTGGTGCATAATGGGACAATTATCACAGATACAGATGTTTCCAAACACCTATACTGGCCTAAAATATCGGCCCTATAGATAAATCGGTCAGGCTCTAGTAATGACATATTTGTTACACCTGTCAAGGTGAGATAACAACATGTTACTTACACTTGCCATGGTGAGTGTTGGGAATAAAAGAACCTTTGATGATAAATGGTGGAAAATAATATAATATGGATATAATAAGGTTTAATTATGAATTATGGAAAATAGATCATATAAAGATGGATAGAATTTTTGTTAGATGTGGCCATAGGCCGATAAATAATATCTTTTCAAGCTAACTTTAAAATCAAACCATGACACTTTCTGCTGTCGGTAGGAAAACAGTTACTCATTTCTAATGAGGCCTTTAATGACAAACAAAACATTAAAAAGGTTGTTGCTCAGGTAACTGAAGTTAAATTATAGTTCACATCATTTGAGTGTTTGTGGGGATCATAAAATAATTAATGAGTAAAAGAGTAGTGACTCTTAGTGGAGCAATCTAAAAACCTGATAATGTGCTAAGTTACCAAGGGAATAATCAAGATTTTCACAGCCTTTGTGAGATTATGTGTGGCTTCGTGCTGATTATGTGCCATGTACTCAGTGGAAAGAGAGGGCAGCTAATGTGTGCCTGATAGATTGGACAGGGACTTCAGAGAGTCTGTAAGGTGTTTATTGGATAGGATTTAAAAACAGGAAGTGTTACGGGGTGGATAAACAGAGCCAATAAAAGTGGGAACAGACTGGATACATGTCAGAATTGTACGGGGGTCCCTTTGAGGTGAGGTAATATATATAAATATTTATACAATTCTCTCTGGTTCACACATTTTGAAGTCTGTAAGAATAAAGATGTTGTTTAATTATGATATAAACATGTGTTCCTTCCGAGCAAACAACCCAGGCGGGGGAGATGAGAAGCGATCTTTGTTTACCCTGACATGAGGTAACAACATATTTGTTACACCTGTCAAGGTGAGGTAACATCATGTTACTTACACTTGTCACAGTGAGGTAACAACATATTTGTTACACCTTTCATGATGAGGTAATAATATGTTAGTGACATATGTCCCTAATATGTCACTATCAAATCCCGTTTAAAAACTCACTACTATTCAGAAGCTTTCAACACCAGAGGATCTGTGTTTTGAACCTGTACGCTCCACACTGGGTTTGTCGTCATATTTATTATCTGCATCATTTTTATGTCTATATTTTTGATTTACTTCATTTTGTATATTGCTTTGTGTGTTGTCTGTTGTTTCTGTTGTTAGTACAGCACTTTGGTCGGCGTTGTAGCTGTTTTAAGTGCTCTATAAATAAAATGGTATGGTATGTCATGGTGATGTATTAACACGTTATTTACACATCAAGGTGAGGTAATGTCATATCAGTTACACATGTCATGGAGAAAAAATATGTTAAATATACATATAGTAGTAGTAGGTAATACCGTTATTTCCACTTGTCATGCTGAAGTAATAACATTTTAGTTACACCTGTCATGGTGAGATAATGTTAGTTACATATGATATGATGAAGTAATAATATGTTAGTTCCACATCTTATATCAGTCATGGTACGTAATAACATGCTAGTTACACATGTCATGGTGAGGTAATAGCATTAAATTACGCCTGTCAAGGTAGATAATAACATGTTGACAACATGTCATAGTGAGGTAAAAACGTCAGTTACACCTGTCATGGTGAAGTATTAACAGATCAATCTGTTTCTTAACAAATGCTAACTTAGCCTGTTTAAACTTTAGCAGCTGAAGCTAACAAGCAGGCAGGTCAGAGGTCAGACAGGTGCCACATCACAGTCTGACGTCTTGAATACAACGCTGAACATTACATACTCGGTTGTTTTTAATCACCAAATGTAACAGTTTAAATAAGATACAAAACTCACCAACAGACTACAGCTACACATAGCAACACTGACACAATTCGCCACAACAGTGTCATCATCATCCCTCTCCTGCGGGGACAGACATCATCGCCATACACGAAACAGACGTGTATCCTGTTACACTGTCTTCTCCAACAGCACTAGATGGATTCACCAGCTCTGCTCCGTTTACTCTACTGGCTCTCAGTGGCTAACTGTGATGCTAACCACTGCTTCCTGACACAACCTGCTGCTGCTGAGCGTCAGCTGCGCCGCTC